GTATTAAAACTTGATGCTAGATATCCTACACTTTCCCTATATTGAGTAAATCTTATTGTATTGTATTGTATTAGTTAAGTCATATTTTGAACGTATTTGCACCCAGGTTGTAAATAAATAAAGTTCAATTCAACACTACTACTACTACTACTACTTCTACTACTTCTACTACTTCTACTACTACTACTACTACTACTTCTACTACTACTACTACTTCTACTACTACTACTAATAATAATAATAATAATAATACTACTACCACTACTACTACTTTTACTACTAATACCACAACCACCATCACCACCACCGCCACTTCTACTACATTATATCTACTACTACTGCTGTTATAATTACTTTGTATTACTGCTACCACTGTGTCAACTATAAATATTGTTATGATTTTCAACTTTGTGACAATGGTAACAGATTAACAGTCAAGTGTTAACGTAGTTATTGGACCTCTATCAATAATGTATATTGATTATAACTTTATTACCTAACTAGATAAATAATAGAAAACATTTAAACTACAATATTTAACCCACCTGTTCTTGTCAAAAAGGAAGACTACAATATTACATCTCAAACTCTCTCAATATAGATCCTGACTGAAAGGCGGTTGTTAAACTCAATTCACACCGTGGATGAGAGGGGTCCTGATGAAGTTAATGATAATCATGATCTATGCAGCTTCGTGATCTATGTGGCATTAATGTCAAGTTTGATGCGTGCTTTCGACGGTATCGGATCCTATTATAGCAGGTGGCCACACTAGCGGCGTATCAAGAAGGTGATAAATACAGGAGTGCTCACAACCATCGCGGACAGGAGCTTTGCAAGATTTCGCGATTATTTTTGTCCTGGGTCTTCATACACCCCACCCGCGATCCGCCTCTCCTCATCCCCCTTATTTTCTCAAAGTGCGATACTCTGTTCATCGCAAGGTTTGAACTCTTGGACTGATTTTAGCTGAAAGGCTGGCGGCTTGAGGTTCCCTTTGAGACTTATGGGGCGTTGCAAGAAAGTTGCAATCAATGAGGAGACGAGTGGGGCGTTGCAAGTAAGTTGAGTTGCAATCAATTGCAAATTTTGCAATTTGCAATCGATCGCAACTTTCTTGCAACGCTCTATTACATTGATTAGCACTGTATGTCTTTTAAAAAACCATGGGCAATGCAAGTGGCTGAAAAAAGAGAGTAATTATTACTTTCGCCATCCCACCTATCAGACTTTTCTCTCTCCCTCTTTCTTCATTTTAGTTCATTTCATTTATTCAACATTTCACCCAATTTAATTATTTTTTTTGAAGGTTTGATTACCCTTGAAAATTACCGGCAAGTATTTCGATACTGAGGCTTTACCTTTCATCCATTCAATGTAAAATCTACCGTGCCGATTTCATTTTAAAGAAAATCTACAGACTTGCATGGTCACGACTCGTGGATAGGTAAAACCCCTAGAGTATCATGTGACTTTTGCCAGTGACGCATAGATTTCGTCTCATTCCAATTAATTACTTTTTATCCGTGTCGTTATCGATTCTCCTACTCGATATCGGGTGAATGAGTTCATGTTCCGTCACCATGAAATTAAAGAGGGAAGACAGGGCATCATGATCGAGAGACTTAATCCTCAACAAAATATCATCTGATTGGTCTTTCCTTCAGTCAGGGGCTTAGGGGCTTGGGGATAGGGGTTCTTACATACATATTCTACATTTGCCTCGCGAAAAAAGCGGGACATGAAGATATTTGTTTGGAGGGTTGAGCCCCCCCCCCCCCCCCTCCTCCTTCCCCATCCCTCTAGAACCGCTACTGCCTTCAGTGTACTGATTCCAATGTCACGCTATTTTGTCTTGTGGTCCGTAAGAATTCCATTTTCATCTTACGCTGTCACTATTCTATACGAAAATGAGAAAACTAATGAAACGTGAAAATCCAATTCATGCTAGACTAGTGACGATGACTAGGAAATTTAAGCCCTTTCGTGGTTATAAGAGCGATTAAAAGCGTCGGCTTAAATGCTGTTAATGCTGGGCTTTGAATAACACATAGTACAAAGACGCACAGTCAAGTAATATAAATAATGTAGGCAAATGGACCACAGAGCAATAAGACGTATTAATACAGTCAAATTAGCGATTTTTTGGGGGGTAACCCAAAAGTTATTGCGAAAGAATAAATTTCATTAATGATCTTGGGAATGATCCTCGAAACAACATACTCAAAGTTAAGGAAAATCTAAGTAGTGGAAAGCAGTTAAATGTTTATATTAGTTTTCTTATAAGAAAATCCATATTTCCCCTATACATTTGCATTTAAATACTAATTTTAAAGGGGTATAGTTCCTAAAGTGATTTTATATGGTCATTGAACACAATGACGACGTTTTCAGAATATTTTCATAAATATGATTTGCATAATATGCATTTCAACATAGGCCATGAAAATAAATTCATATTTGTCATAATTTTACATTTAAGTTCAATGCCTAACCTTATTTTCTCAATGCCTCACCTTATTTTCTCAATGTTACTAAACGAGGTGGACACAATTTGACGTCAAAATTGTGAACCCAATTTGAATAATATACAAAAAAGCATAGGTCATAGAGAAAAATTAATATTCATTTTTTCAAAATATAAATTTGCATCTAATTTTCCAATTGAAACAAATCAAATGTTCAATCATGGAATTATTCTTAAAAAGTTGTCATTGTGTTTGCTTACCATAAAAATATCACTTTATGAACTAAACCCCCTATTATTTATTACTTAAATGCAAATTCATAGGGAGAATATAAATTGCTAATAAGAAAAATGCTAATTTGCATATTATTGAAATTTAACTGCTTTTCGATACTCATTTTTTTCCCCTAAACTTATTGTTTGTTGCTATTAGAGGATTACTCCTAAGATCACTGCAGTGGAATAAATCCTTGTCCTATTTGTTTTGGGTATACAGCAATTTTGACTGGACTATATTGCAAAAGTTATTTAAAAAACGGCTTGACCAAAGTTCGTGCATTAAGATATTTATCATAGATATACAGCATATATATTTAGCATTATAGGTTGAATTTTGCCATTAAAGTCTCACAAGGGTTTGGTGTTAAATAATGCAGATCACCACCTGGAATAGGCCGAAAATGTGCCTTTAATAATTTAATTTATTCCGAAAAGATGTGACAATTTTAGAGGGTGCAATTTCGGATTTCAGAGTTCCAGATGGTTGACAGCATAATTTACAGTAATATAACATACCTTAATGTGCCTCTATACATCCAATTTTGTCGCATGCATTACTCACTTAAATGGCGAACTCTTCATAAGGACCATCTGTTAAGTGGATGCATCATTCATAATCGCGACTCCACTTAATTGATTTGGGGGAGGGAGGGGGCAGATCCGACCCCACCCAACTCCTGCTATCCCCAGTAGAGAATATTGGTTTCTTACATGTCCACCCCTCGTGCTTTTTTTTCCTCATTGTTTCCTCTAAATTATCCTTAAAACGAATCTGGGCAATTATGCAGCCCCCATCCCCTTTGAAGAATAAATTAAGGGTGATAATAAATAAGTGAAATTAAAAAAATAAATTAAATAACACCCTCTCTGGTGGCGACAGCAATGCTTGACGATGACGACCGGAGGTTCTGTCCCCGGCAACCAACGAATGTAAGACGTGTAATAATGATGTGATGAAGTAAGATGATTATCTTCTGAGGCCTTTAAGAGGTCTATTAACGTCACATTACAATGATTACTTCGCCCAACACCTTCTGAAATCCAGGGTCTCGGTGTAATAGCTTAGATTCGTCTAGACAAACTACATAATGACGCACCTTGGAGATCACACACTTTGCATTTCCCCGGTGTGCGACATAAGCTTCACTAATCATACCAATTTTCATCCCATGGGAATTTACTTCTATTTTTGTTTTCAAAATCAGCTTGGTCGTTTATTAGTTTCGTTTTTTACCTGTGTCTTTGATTGTTTGTTGGGTTTTTCCTTTTGTTCTGATCAGTATTACTTTACTGTAAAATTTGTGAGCTCATTCTACACCCATATTTTAAGAGCAATGTGCTAATTCTCAGCCGGGAGCTTGGGGAAGGTTGTAAATCAGAAACAAAGCTCTTTTCTTACTGATTATTTTCTTTCGTAGAAAATACAAAAATAGGAACAATACAGATTGATGTTTTTTTTTAAATTTGTCCTCGAACGTCACTTATATATTCATAACCGTTGATATCAACATCTCAAAAGAGAGAGAGAAAAATACTGATCACTGATTGATTAAAAATAATACAATAACTTGAAACATGACGTCAATGGGAGAATAAAATATAGTGACGCTCAAATTTTGGGTATTATTTGGTTCTCTCAAAATGAGTTATAGTGGATTTAAAGTCTAAAGATAAATGGGCATTCAATCATGCAAAATTTTCGAGAAAGGAATATGACCGCCGATACAAATTGTGTTAATTCTCTCTTTCTCTCTCTCTCTCTCTCTCTCTCTATATATATATATATATATATAGATATACATATCCTCGTGTCACGTGCACAGGATCTCTAAAGATTTAACAACTTTCTCTCTCAATATCCTAATGTCACGCGCCCAATATCACGATGTTACAACACGGTGTATCATGATCTTTACAGATTTAGTTCCGATCGCGTTATTACCTACGCTAATCAAGTCATTGGAGGCAAATAGCCTGACAATGACAAAGACAATGATTTGTATTTCTTTAACGGCCCCTACACCAGTAATTTAACATAATTATGTGCACTGTTCAATTTCCAAACACTTTTGTACGATCAATAACATCACATGACGATGAATCGTCAAAGACTGCGCCAGTAAATGACGCAGTACTCCGTCAGCGAAATGACGCCAAATTGACTCTATTTCCCGCAACACAACACAGACTCACCACATATTTGAATCTCTTGAAATTACTACATAAGGACTGCAATGAATTTACATAATCTTACCCCAAAATAAGGACCTTCGTGGACTGAGTCTGAAGACCTACACCTGCATTCGTATTCCAAGTATTACACTTTGCGTAAATGATTAGCAACAGTACTGCGCATTCTAACATAAGGTATCTAATAATCGTGCATGTCCTTGCTGAAATGAGACGTGGTTTTAAGGATGCACAGCCTCCGAATTGAAGTACCTCTCAACAGCAGAAACAAAGCAGGATAAGAATCGGTAAACAGAGGAGCTGTGTGGTGAAAAGAAGATCACACTAGCGATAACCTCGGGATTGTATTGCAGCCTCGATCTTCTACAGCAAACATCAAAAAGAATGGTTCTTCATGTTTATTCCTTTCCTTTCTCTATCTGTCAATGTTCCATTCCTCATGTTTTGCGTATGTCGAGCGGTTACAATAGACCCCCCCCCCCCTCTCTCTCTCTCTCCCCACTCTCCCCTCCAATCATGAGGGTCTGCTCTGCTTGGGTTGATTGCTATGTAAGACCATTAATCTAAAACTGGATGGCTATTCTTATATCAGATTTGAAGAGGATAGACGACCGCTCCCGGTTGTGATTTGATGAAGATAATTCGGTCATTCACATTGGGCTGTAACATCATCTTTCAGCCACTGTTTATCACAAATGACGATGGAGAGTCATTTTATAGATATACTATATCCATGCTCTGTCTATGTGAATATCATATTCTGCGTTATCCGGCTGGAGAAGACGTTATTGGAAATATGGTATTTGTGTTTTTCCGCATTGACCTCTATGCATGAAGAGTTGATCGTCTTAAAAGTTATGTTATAATAATAATAATGATAGTACTAGTGGAGTTTTGTATAGCGCCCCCTGTCTTTACATTACTCCTGGTGCTCCATTTTTATTACTACGGGTATAGCACGACTATCATTACAGCGCGCGAGCAATTTTAGGAATTAATTCCTGCCAGATACTCATTTACCTCACCTGGGTAGAGTATGGCAAAGGTAGATTAATGCTTGCCAAATAATAGCGACAGGATTCTATGAAATCGAAAACATTTAGATACCGTTTTTGACACCATTGAAATCAAATATATTTTAAAATTCAGATTCTATTTGATAAGCTGGTGATGAGATAATACAATCTTTCTGCTATGATATTCGTGCCACATTGTTTAAAATAGAAAGAAAATACAGCTTAAATACATTATGTGGTACGAATGAGGGGTTGCCCCTTCTGAGAACTGAAACGGTCACAGAAAAATATATTACTCCTAAATCAGAACGCATTTCTTCAGTTAAAAAAATCAGCTTGATATTTCTACATTTCATCTAAAACATTGTTTTTCAGACATGACAAATGATAACATAAATAGAAAGACGATGTTTGTCCCCAATTTATTCTGATATCTGTCCAAGAAACGAACGATCGCATGGTGTATCAATAAGTTACAAGAGACATGTTTTTTGCCCGTGGTTACATGTATATACTACGTCATGTCCGTGTGTTTTTGTTAATGTGTTTACTGTACAATGAAAAAGCACATTGAGTAGTACAATCTTGTTTTATTTGACTAATGGATTTGCCCTCCGTCAGGATTGAAAGCAAATGTCTGAAGTGTACTAGAAAACGAAAGTAGTGGTAGAACCCGCACTTTAAAAGTGGTGAGGGCAAGAACAAATAATTATCGGAGAGAAATGAGAAAAACAATTCGTGGGAGCACAAGGGTATCTGGATTAAGACCCTTGACTCTCGTACGAGAGGTTTCAGATTCGATCCTCGCTCGGTGCTTACATCTTCAACAAGGTGTATAACCCACATGTCTCCACTGACCTAGGTGGATTAAAGAGGTACCTGCCTGTGCTATAGGAGAATAAACACGGAAGAGCTCGCACGAACTGCAGTATGAATAATGATGTTCCTTCCCTGGGTAAAACAGACAATTATGTGCATTCCTTTGTATGATTGGGGGGGCAGAGACTTTGTATGATTGGGGGGGGGCAGAGACTTTGTATGATTGGGGGCAGAGACTTTGTCTGCTGGTCGGGCATACTGCCCCAACCCGCCTTGCTCCCGATTGCTACCCACACGATGAGTGTGGATAATATTATGTCTAAAAAGCCTTCACAGGAAGAAGTACTATGGTTGATGTTGATCAAAGATTTGTTGCCCCTCGTCAGAAATTTGAGGGTATACTCTCACAGCCCATGGAAATAAAGAGATCCTATATCTTTGAAGGTTTAACATGAGAGGCATAAGAAAGAGAAGGAAAACAACTATATTGTTTTTTTATATAAAAATTATAGAGCTACTCAAAGTAAAACAGTACAGTCAAGATCAGAGACCGCTCATTAGAAATAATTATTTATGTAATTTTATGACATGAAGTTCAGGGGCAGATCTAAATTTGTCAGATACTTAAAGGTCGCAATACTTGATGACTTTCGAAGCCCACGATTCTCGAAAACGTTTCGTGGTTATGGTATTTTTATTTCAGGGAGTGCTGGATTATCAATATTCATAACAAAACACTTTGATTTGCTCATACTCAACCTTTCAATTTGCTTTACACTTTTTGTCACCTCATTTTAATACTAGCAGTTTGATGTCATTCTTTCTATTTTTATCCCCTTTTCTTCTTTTTTTTCTCAATAGAAGTAATAATTTATCATCATGAGATTCATTTTTACGACACTTGGTGTTAGCAAATTTATTTCGCAATTATTGAGATGTGATAAAGTCATTTTCAGTCAATAGTACATATAATCTTGACAACAGACTCTCTCTCTCTCTCTCTCTCTTTCTCTCTCTCTCTCCCTCACAATCTCTCTCTCTTTTCATCTTATCTTCATGGTTCAAATAACATAGATAATGTATTCTGGAACAATATGATGCTGATCATGATCGGAAATCATTGGTTTATAAAGTGGATATGACGACAGGCAGGCAGGTCATCATGATTAGATAATTTTGACTAGTTTTGTTTAATGACGATTTAAAATTCACATAATGGGAATGAGGGTCATGTAGTAAATAAAAAGAAAGATTATTACTAGATTTATATTTTTAAAAAACAACGCACGTAAGTCATGACTATATTGCTGAATGTAGTTCTAATCAAGAGTTAATCGAACAACGTTTTATTCCCCCCCCCCCTCTCTCTCTCTCTCTCTCTCTCTCTCTCTCCCTCTCCATTTCTCAATTGTACAATTTAATTTATGCTGTTAATTGATGTTAAGACTTTTCCTCGGCGAATATATTGACTGTTTTCAAATACAAAATGTTGCTATTCTGCACGTTAAATATCAATGTAATTTATAATGCGACTGGCCTCGTTTAAGACTCAATGGTCACGGGACCCATTAAACATGTTAGATTGGTCATGAATACGGGGCTATTTTTCATTCTTGTTCTACTTCTTGCTCTCCAATTGACCTTGTGTCTTTTTACTTACTTCTTATTTAATTCTTTTTTGAGTGCGCCAAGAAAAAAATGAGATTTTTTTTTTTTTTTTATGAAACATATAAAGCTAATATTCATATTTACATGTTGTTTGTTAAGTATGCAAGTAAAACAAAAAAATGTGATGTAAACTGACATTGAAACATGATTTTCATTACAGTCAATGATAACCAAAATCAAAACAGACCTGATGACCGCTTTTGGATCTCATAAGGATGATAATCTAATTAAATCAACCATCATCATTTCGTTCTCATTTTCCTTGGCTTTTCTTTTACAGTATGTGTTGTATCCTCACAATTTCATATTGTCTTGTCCTTTTCTATAGTCATTCCTCTCTTCTCTTAACGAAACGCCAAAGGAGGAGGAGGAAGAGAAGAAGACATATTTGGACAGCTTTTCATATCCCAGACGGTTCCATCTGGTCCTCAGAACCAATTAAAAATGTAAATCAATACCGATAAAAACAGGCACGAATAATGATTTCCAATTTGTCGAAACTCCTGACGGTAGTCGTTAAAAAAAATAGAAGAGACATGAACGTAAAATAGACCATTACATTCAGAGATTGGGGAAACAATAAGATGACCTAGTTCTTAGAATTAGAAATGAGGGAACATTTATGAATAATTTAATGAGTGACGCATTTTGGCTCCTGTTCAGTATAACATCTTACAAAACGAAGATGTGGACGAAGACGATAAAACGAGTATAGACATGCTCCGGGAAGTTTAGAATGAATAATTATGTTAACAACGTCCGGAGTAAAATAGCGATAAACTACTTTTAGAATTTTAATGACATACTAATTGGGTTTGCTTTTGTGTATTTCTGAGATGCTGAAAGAGAGTCATTAGAGGTGAAATGCAAGAAATCGACGGCTTCTAGCCGCATCACGAGATAAAGTAATTTGAAAAATTAAATAAACGCAGAAAGAATTTTTTTTTTTTACTGATTGTTTTTGTTGTTGGTGGTAGGTTTGTGTTGTTGTTTTTGTCTCGTTTTGTCTGTTGTTTGTTCTTGTTCGCTTATTTTTGTTTGTTTTTGATTGATTTCTGATTGCCCATCCCCTAACCCAAGGGTTAATGCTTTAAAATGAGATGTTGCAAATCAGGTTGAGCGTTGGCAATAAGCCTGATTCCTACTGATGACATCAAAATACAAGTAAAATACTCAAACATTAATCGTATGGAATAATGTTCCCATAATTATAAAAACCAAAACCTTACACTTTATGATTTTGACTGAAATGGAACCATGACAAGCCATATGAGAACATTATTTGCTGTCAATGGAATGAGACAAGTCTGATGAGATAAGAGTTGAAACAAATATCGTCAGTATAAACAACATGTACTTGTCATAAATAATGTTTTTTACAAAGTCTGGTCAGATTGCGTCTGAGAAAGGGTAGAGCAAGGGCAGTTTGAACTACGCGGGGATAGTGGTTGTTTTGCGGATTTTTTAATTGTAAATTTAGCTAAAAGATATACTTGTAAATAATTTGGTTAGGAAAGAAAAAGAAAAAATATAAAGAGAGAGAGAGAGAGAGAGAGATAACAACAAATTATATTAATAAAGTCATTGGCCACAATAGTCAAGTATGACTAATTGCCATCAAATTATAACGAAAGAAGAAGATAATGGTTCAATGATCAAGAGCAATATTCTGATTTTGACTTTCACATTCACGCTGGCAATCTGAGAGAGGTCAGCCAGATAGTGCGTGTTTAGGGCAGGAAACATCAATGTGATGAATAAAAAGAAACCACAAGATGTGACGTAAATTGACAATGAAAAGTTCAAAAAATAATCTTCATCACATGCAGTCAATGATGAGAAAAATAAAAACAGACCTGAGGGCCGTTTTGGAATCTCACCGAGATAATAATTCAAAACAATCATAAGGACACTGGTTAGATGTTGGAAGGTTGAAAAG